TAAAAGGCTACAAAAACAAGCAAGGGGGTTATAAGGAAGTCATAAGGCACATGACTATCTTTAGAAATTGCATGGGCATGTCATTGGGAAGAAATATATCACTCTCAACAAGAATATCATTGGGAAGGAATATATCACTCGACAAGAATACTGAATGCAGTTTCTGTCACAGATGCACACATTCTCATATACTAGCCCCCCACCCATGTCTTCATATGCAGGTATAACTTCCACATACTCAGGTCCACTATCAAATTCAGTCCCCATCAGTATGAATTAAATTTATTTGTTAAAGTCATATCCCATTTTTTCTAGGACTTCCAAACAGTCAACATGAATATCTCCTTGCATTTTATTTCTGTGAAGTAGGATTGGTTGAGAAAAAACTCAACCAGAGATGGGCCAGAAAAATTTTCATAGAAAGTTTTTAAAATGGAAAATTTTCTGGTGTCAAAATTTTCCTTCAAACTGTATATTTGATTATGTGCCATCAAGTTGTTTTTGACTCCAAGTGACCCATAGATAGATTTTCTCCATGATGATCTATCCTTAACCTGTTCTTTCAAGTTTCCCAATGATGCACTCATCACCACTGTAACTGAGGTATAACGTTTACTTTTCAGGTAATTAAGCTAAAAAATAAACAGGGGTTTTATGGTTCTCCCTCTTGTGTTTCAAAGGCTGGGAGAGAAGAAAAGGGAGATACAACTAGAGAGGCTGCAGAGAAATGAGGCAAAAAACCATAACATGCTTTTCCTTATAGCCCCCATACAGCCAGGTGAAATAATGTATGTATGTGTGTGTGTGTGTACTTATTTATTTATTTATTTATTTAATTTATTTATTTATGCATACAATTTAGAGGCTGCCTGACTCCTAACAACTCTAGATGGCATACAGTTTAAAAAATAGGAAGAGTACAACAAAAGAGGCAAACTAAGAACAGCCCAAAGACAAATATATATAAAAAAACTCAATTCAATGGGGCTCAACACTCCCCCTGCTCCAAGGCCTGGGAGAATAGCCAGGCCTCCAAAAACTTCCTAAACATCAATAGTGTGGGAGCCATCTGGATGTCTGAAGCAGATATTATTCCAGAGGGCAGGGACTGGGACAGAGAAGGCACACTTCCTGAGTTGTGCTGTTTGATGCTACTTAACTGATGGGGGCCAAAGCGCACCCACTCTGCCGATCTCATCAGACAGATACGACTACCAGTCCCTCAAGTAACCTGGCCCTATGGCTTGAAGAGTTTTATAGGTGATAACCAGCAGCTTGAATTGCACCTGGAAGTCAACTGGTACCCAGAGCAGTTCACAGAGTAGTGGGGTCACATGGGCATACTGAAGCATGTCCATCACTGCCCATGCTGCATTTTAGACCAGCTGTAGCTTCTGAGTGATCTTCAAGGGCAGCCCCATATAAAGCGTGTTATAGTAGTCCATGTGTGAGGTCTGGAAGCAAGGAACACTTAAGTAGTCTCTTATGAAATTGAAAAAGAGAGAACGTAAAACCTGATCTACTTCTCAATATAAAACATTCCCACAAAAATCCTAAGATTATGTCAACAAGCAATGCTACCCAAATGTAAATTGGCAGAGAAGAAACTGAAGTGCTAACATACTTTATCTTCCTAGGCTCAAATGTGGACAGGGATTATAGTCATGAAAGAAAAGACATCTGCTATGTGGGAGAAAGAATATGACAAATTTAGACAAAATATTAAACTGCAATGACAACACGCTTTAGGCACTAACAGAGCTATGTATTGTCAAGGCTATGATTTTCTGAGCTGTAACTCTGGCTGTGAAGGCTGGATCATCAAACTAAGAAAAAACTTATGTGTCTGAATTGTGGTGCTGGAGAAAATTGTTTAGAATACTTCAGACTGCAAGAAGAATAAATAATTCAATACTAGATGAAAGAAAACCAGACTGTTTACTGGAATCACTAATAAAGGAGGTAAAGCTTAGGTATTTTGGAAACATGGTGCAAAGGCAAAAGTCACTTGAGAAGACCTGAAATGTAGAAAAACTGAAGGCAATTAAAATAGAAGCTGACAAAAGGTGAAGTATCTTTTCACTGATGACATAAGAAGCTTGTAAGCACTCAACAAAACAAGAGGCAAATCTGGTAAGATGATATCTATCAGATAACAAAGAGATGGAAGCAACGGAACAATTGCTTATCATTCCAGTAACACTTCCTGTTAGAGAGTATGACAGACATACTATTCAGACAATGGTTATGCAAAAGATTGGTCAGAATGAATGACTCTGATGTCAAATGAATGGCTTGATATAATACACTGCTGTTAACAATAATACTAGTTATAACTGCAACATCTGAAATTCATAAAAAAGTAATTGTTACAATTCTAATAAGTATGTTAGTGAATGCATATCCAAATTACTGACTGGAGATACTGAAAATGTAGGTTCCAACAAAGTACAAGGCTTTGTAATTAATTTTTCTCAACACATCAAAGTTTTTAGTTTCCTTGAACGTACTGTTCAAGCCATATAAATATGTTACATTTTCTTCTCATCAAATATTGCAGCCCACATATTTGTGCAGAATATGGATGGTCAGATGGCATAACAGAATTGCACAGAAAAACTCACATCTCTAAAAGTGACTAGCTAAAAGTCACCCAGTAAGCTTTCACGGTTGAGGGTAGACTTGAACCTGAATCTCCACAATCCTACTCCAATACTCCAATACTTAATCACTATATCACAGTGGGTTTCTGTCTATAACTTGTTTGGGATTTCCACCATCCTAGTGATTTTTTTTTTTTTTGGTACTTGCACAAAACCAAAATTTGCTGTTCTGTGTTTGCCATTCATACAAATATAGACCATTAGTGGGTTTATACATTGGATTAATTCATGATTTGCTTAACCTGTTTTGTTCAATAAGCCATAATTAGCTGGGTCCACACACTGTACCTACAAATCTGTTTTATAAGCCACAATCGCTGAGTTCAGTCAACATGCTAAGCCAGAATCAAGCAAATCACATTACAATTTACCTTAGTTGAGTTCAGAAGCTAAACAGTTATCAGTCCTGATTAGAAGATGGAGGGAGACTGTAGTATGGTAAGTTGTCCTGATATACCTGGGATGATGCAATGGCCTCAAGGTTAAAGGGTTTTTTTGTGGGGTGTGTGTGTGCAAAATTAGGATCAGTGTCATGTATACACTGAAAAGCTTCATGCTTGATTAAAATACTTGCTTTACAGCTTTGAATATATAAAGGGGCAGAAATATTAACTATTAGAGGAGGAGGTTGTTGGGCATTCCTGGAGTTGTTTTTGTATGATATAGACTGGTGGAAGATTCTGCAGTGAGAGATCCGGAAGAACCTGGGAGAAAGATCTGCTGAGTGAACTGGCTGGTGGAAAGGATCATTGTTTTTGGAGAACAGATGTCAATGAGAGAGCTGACAAAAGTGTTAGAATTCAAGAAGCCCAGAAAAGAATTGTTTTTCCTTCTGCCCATTCTCCTCCCTAGTTCCGTCCCTTTTTTTCACCTGCTGACAGGGTACCACATGGGAATTTCAGGGCTGCAGGCCAGACTTGGAATGGTAAACCACTTTATAATACCACCAAAAAACCACATATTTTAAAATACTCTTGATATGATAGAGAACATCCCAATCTCAGGACATTTGAGATTGACGCAAATGAGTCTCCATCAGGTCAAAAACCTATTACTTGATGAGTCTTGCATCAGGTAATTCTTGATGCAAATATTCATATCTCCTACATACAAAAATACATACGACACCCAGAGAACACACTAAGGAAACATTTTTTAACATAATAACAGCATTAATAAATAAGCAGGTGATCCTAATTTGTTCAGGTTTGTGTGGAAGGAAGTCCTAAATATCAATGTATTTGATTATTAGAAGTGAAAATATTTGATGCTGGGGGAAGGAAATATTTGCTTCAGCTCTAAATATCATGCTGAGCACAATGAAGTTTGTCCTATTAGAATAGCAATCTAATGAATTAGTGAAGACTAGAAATTTGGATTGTGGGGCAACTGTGTAGCTTTCTTGTTGCCAAATTATTTATGGTACTGAGACCTTGCTAGTATTATAAAATTGCTTCACACATTACAGATTTCCTCTGAAAATCACTTTACAGTGAATTTATGTATATCTAACTTGGAAATCAGTCCTACTTTTCAGTGAAATTTTCCAGCACAAACTGGAGTGTACCCTGAGAGTAGCAGGAAGCAATTTCGCACATCATACATAACCATTTGTAATATCTGCTTAATTATTACAAACACTTTCCGTATAGGACACTGGTGCTATGTGTGACCCACACATTGGAGATAGACTGCAGTCTTATTGGGGAGGTTAGGAATTGAGAACTATTTTTCTCTATCTTTTGTGTATCACAATCCCCATTCAAAAACACACAGAAATGACTGAAGAACATTTAAAAAAGACAGAAGCTGCTTTGAAGCACTTGCTCCAAGACAGTTTTTACTTTACGTTTATTTAATCTTGCGCTGTTATTTAGAAGAGGCAGGAAGTCTCATTTCAAATTCTTCTGTTCAAAACACAGCTCTCCCCTTTTCCACTTTCTTGAATAACGATGCCAGGTTAAACTACAGCATCCCTCAACTGCAGAAGAATCTGCTTACATGCCCACAAACCCACTGTTTAGGTCAGTGTTTTTAGAACTTGGCAACTTTAAAATGAGTGGACTTCAACTCCCAGAATTCCCCAGCCGGCGCTGGCTGGAGAATTCTGGGAGTTGAAGTCCACACATCTTAACGTTGCCAAGTTTTAAAAACACTGGTTTAGGTCAAGCCTCCATTTACCCTCCCCGAGCTTGTTTCCCTGCAAGCTAGATACACGCTGCAGGACGCCCGCCTCCCGCTTTCCCTCCCCGCAGCATACCCAGCCACTGTAGCAGCCCGACTTCTTCCAGCTGCCCCCTTGAGACTCCCAAGTTCTGTCCAGGTAGCCCCGCGCTGCCTGCGCGCTGCGAGGAGAAAGAGCGCCCCCCTCGCGCTAAGCCTCGATCCTCCCGAGAGCCTCCCTCACCCGAGACCTCCTCACCGGCGCTTGGGGGGCTCAAGCAAACGCTGCTGCTCCATGTAAGCGCGGAGCCAGAGCTTTTTGCTTCGGCGCGGCTGAGAGCGAAGCGCGAGGGTTCCATTCGCCGCCGCGAACAGGCGCTGGGAAGCCTCGAGCAGCAGCGGGCGGAGGAGCATCGACGCCATCGTACCCGGGGAAGCCCGATGTAGCGCCGGCTGGAAACTCGTGCCACTTCCTTTCTGGTCCGGCTGAGTTCCGCGCTGAGATAGGTGATTTCTAGCGAATGAGGGTTGACGGTGGTACAAACGTAGCCAATTCAAAAAGGCGGATCAAAATTATCGCGCAGTTCTGCGATATAGTCTAATGCCAGACACACTGATCGTGGAAACCCAGGTTTATAATCTTTCCGCAATCATATGGTTTATAGAGCTGCAGGTCAATCTCTCTCAGGCTGAGAAATCCTCATTTGCTTAGAATCTGCCTTCTATCTTACCGGCTGTGCTAACAGGACTTGTGGCCTAAAATCCAAAAGCCTAACTTATCTTTCGACGTTTTTATGAGAATTTGAAAAACGTGACAGTGCGGGTTCATGAGCTACTGAAGAGATGATGATGATGCAGCTTATTGTTTGATTCAAGAGAATAGATTTTGAATAAAGTTTTTAAGAGTGGCAAGCTTGTCTGATCTCCAAAAGCTAAGCAGGATCAGACTAGCGCTTGGATAGCAGACCACCAGGAAATTCAAGAGCTGACTAGGAAGTTAAAAAAAATTGTGGAAAAAGGCAAAGACCAACCTGTTACTGTATGTATTTTTGGCAAAAGAAAACTGCATATTCACATCCAAGTAATCAGAATGAATTAAAGGGTTTTACAATCTTTCACCCTACCTTCTTTGCCTACCTCAACCTCCCAAGCTACAAAATATATATCATGATGTCAAATACAAGGGACATTCAGACTGAGCTATAGCAAGCATGTATTCAAACCAAAATTTAAAATAAAAACAAAATTTATTGTTGTAGAGAAGACAAAAACTTGCTGCAAGATTAAAACCTAAAAGCTTCTGATGCAAGATAAAGTGCCATTTTGCTCCCCCTTCCCAAGACTCTTTTGGCAAACCTAGTGTTTGATGGCAATGTTCCTGAAAGGACAGTGGTACCTCGGGTCATGAACGCTTCGGTTCATGAATAGTTCGGTTCACGAACAGCACCGTTCGCAAAATTTTGCTTCCGTTCATGAACTCCGCATCGGGTGACAAACAGGATCCGCAGCCATTTTCCCTGTTGTGACACATGGTCGTGGCTTCCTGTAGGGAGCAGGACTCTCCCTCCAAACAATAACAACCTTCCCACCTGCCTTCCTGTCCTCCACGCCAGAAGTCGTCTCAAGCAAGGTCAGTGTTCTCTTTCGTCATACTGTACTGTACTGTACTTTGTTTCATATTTTTGTGGTTTAAAAAAAAATACATATG